CAGGGGCCGAAGTGGGGGGGGAGCAAGTTGAAAACGATACTAGTAACAGGAATTTGCTAGCGTAGATCTTAATATTGCATGATGTTGATATAGCTAAACTAACAGATTAGCAAATTGTTTATTGTTCCTATTGAATTATTGAAGCACATTTGGGGCATCATTACTAGAAAGCTTTAATCAAATCCTACAGTTAGATGTGCAAAGTTCGGTGTAATATAGCTGAAGCTGGAGTTACGCTGTAGGGTGGTTATACCGGCTACACAGATACAGATTGTTCCTAGATCCTATATAGTATGGGCCACAGTATTGGTCACCACCATTCATACTCTTAATTTTATCATTTCAGTTCTTGGGAAATATTCCCGTCAACTGTTTAAAACTTTCTAAACAGAAGAAGGCCCCAGGTCTACACCGAATCCTTCTGCGGAATGGGATAACAGAAGAAATCCGTCAAAAGGCAATATGATTTACCAGGGAATTTAGCCAATGGCAGTTCAATCTCCCTGTCAAATCGTTCTCCCTTTGTGACCAATTCTTACCATTGACCCAGCCCACAGAATAGCCTGGTGGATATTCCCTACTCTCTAAGCAGAGGTTGGTAGAGAAGATTGTGACCTTTCTATCACAAGCCCCGGTTTCTGTAGATGCTCCCTTGTCGCCAGTATAAATGTGTTCCGTCCCCGTGGCTTTATTGAGTGTGTGAGGAATAGAATGTGATTACACCAGCCAGGCGGGTACAACACTGATGGATGACAGTATTCTCACGCTGAGGAGCGGCATCACTCATCACATTTGGCTCCAAGCTGCTTGAGCTGCGAGGAGTCTACCACAAATCCTTAGTTATCTTTCAAGTGTGGAAAATAAACCCTTCTGAAACAGGAGGTTGCCACTCGCCCCATTTTCAATACCACCGCATCACACGAAATCACGTTTGGACGCCCCTAACAGCTAGAGAGACTTACCGGAAACTACATTCAAAGCTCAGCGAACATAAAGAAACTTTTCTCCCTGTCAACTTTCATACTTCCCGTCGTCCTTTTCGCCAAGTCTCGCGGGATTCTGCGTTATCTTATGATCTCGCGGTAGTGCCGCCATGTTTGAATTGTAAAGCCAGCGATTGTTTGTCTTCAGAACATACATCAAAGCGACGACAAACATTATGACATATCACGTCACCAGGCAAATACGCGGTAGGTTTACTAGTATTTGCACATCATTTGTATCCTACTCTCAAGGGCAAACAGCACATTTTCGCACTTCTGTTATCAATTTCAACAAGTTCTACTTACAGCGTCAAAACAAGGTCACACTTGACATTAACGCTATCTTTGATATCACTTGACCTATATATTTTCATCCGCAATAACATTAATGCTATCTTTTATATGATTTGACCTATATATATTTTCATCAACAATGATTCATAGTTATTGTAAGTATCAGATATGCAATTAGGTTACCATTGCTGGATAAAGTTTGTCCATTGATCTGGGACATTACGGGAACAGGAGCTGATCCAATTTTGTTGTAAGTTCGTTTGAATATTTATGGCAATTGAACCGAGAAGGGTGCTCATGATTTGATATGATATGATTATGTACGGCTGTCCACTGGCCCCAATTACCCTCATATCGTCTGCTGTATTTTCTTTCATCTTTTTCCCGAATACGACCTAAAAACGTGGACAAATACTTCATAGTTTCAAAGATTTCTTCCTTACTATGCTACTATACACTTACCATATTTACAGGATCAATCAGTGAACTAATAGCCGCCTATGTACGAAAGGTTACACTTACGTTGGTAACTCCCTAGGGCTTACATGTCTACCAGAGTGATACAACACGGGTGTAGCCAAATGTAATTAAGGTAAAATGTAACATATATCTTCTGCCGGGGAGGGTCCCACTAGACGAGCATGTTATTTTCCGGTTGAGCTGATTTAGAGATGGTTTATGCCACACAGGATAAGGAAAAGTCTTTTACTGCTCGCTTTATGGTTCCGTGAACTTATTGTGGCCATTAAGTGTAAGTGCTGTATCGGGGGGTGTCTTTGAATTCAGACACCGACTTTACATGTTCAGTGTACTGTTACAATAACTGCAAAACCAGGTGTTTTTTTTTGGATGGGGTGACCATGAATATATAAATATATAAACATTTTATTGTCTATCTCTCCGTACATTAAATGCCACAAAGGCAAAGCTGGAAAACCAGGCGGTATGGTTTTTATGGTGATTCCGGCTCATCCGGTAGACCAATGGTCTATTACGTTACCTTTATAGTCCATTTTAACCACGCAATCAGATTTGGGACATAAATTTGCGGTTCTATCTGCTGGTATGGGCGATATTTATGTTCCTGAACCACAGAACTCAGGCAGTTTTCTACTTAATGTTGGGCGACGTCCCAGTTAATGCACAATATATACCTAATACTTTTCAACACGTCAATGCCATAAGCCATCAAACCTAACCATCTTCCATTATCCACAACAAGGACTTTCTTCCTTATCCGTGGTGGAGTCAATTTCTTGGGTTTAACCTTGGCAACACTCGTGGCCAAAAATATAATTGGAACTTGGAAGGATCAGTTCTTTTGTGTCCGACGAAAATTTCAGAGGATGTCGTCGAGCCACTGGCGCCATTTTCATCTACCTCAGGGGAGAGGCCACCATTTTGATTTCGTTGTACGCTGTGGATCTGATAAAGGCCTACAAAATGTGTCTTCCATTTTTGATGATACATGTTGTAAGATTTAATCTCAACGTTTTGGCTAGGATTCTCAACAGCTGCACTGTAGAATTTTTACACATAGTTTTTCATAATTTTTCTATAAATACCTGTCAAACTACAGTTTCCGTTGGTCACTGACTAACTGTAGTGAATGCTATAGCTACAGTTTCCAAAATCTATCCAGTTGCTTGAGTAACTGTTTTCTTAGATGGAGTAGCATTCAATTTTAATAATATGTACAAATCCTCTCTAAGAATATAGATTAAAACCACGCTCTGATTCACACAGATAAGGGTACCCCGGTTCTATAGAAGTACCTTTGGCTTAGTCAACATAATTCTCACACATCCAGCGTTCAATTTTGTACCCATTCACGTTTACGACCGACGTTTGCCTATCAGAGTTCTGTCAACCACGCTGAAGCCAACTGGCGGGGAAATCAGATTGGGAACGAGACTGGAATCCAATGGCTTCTCACTCGTTCCCAGGGGAACGTTGAGATATCATCCATGACTCCGATTCTAGCGGTTGTTCAGATCAGATACCGTGAATTTATCCGTGAAGATATCGTGAAGTGTGTAAAGACAGGGACTATTGGACAGATGTGAATAGACAATCATCACAATTAAAGACATCTAATACAATTTCAGGACGGGAAAACAAAAGATATTCTGGATGAGGAAATCTGTCTGATATTAACATTTACTGCCATTTTTTAGCACATTTTCGCCATATTTTCATACTTAAAGCGTTTGAAATAGCCCCAAAATAAGCTACTTTAAGGCGTCTCTTTTTTTGGGGGGTACCACCCATAAATAGCTAGAATACAAACTAAAAATACGGACGAAGTCAATGAATGAAAGGTCATAACATCAACGATTGTTTTGTGTGATCGATGAGAACTAAGACCCCACACATGGCGGTAAAGATCGATAAAGTGTGCCCTATATCTGTCTATAGACCCTGGTGTGACCTCCAACGATCAGACAACAACAATATAATCAAAACAATGCTTGACCCCTCTCGGTCGATTCAATTCCAAAATCAATTTTTATGGAGATAGCGTTACCCCGAGTATTACCATAGTAATTGGCAGCATCGACACAGTGATAGAAATGTGTCCCACTGCGGACCTTTAGCTGCCGTTTGTATCTAATATTCAACAGAATTGATATTCCTATGATAGATATAACTGAGGGATATTATAGTCAGAAATTATGATCGAACCCACTAGCTCAATTTCAAGCGTGGCATTTTGTTAATAACGGAAACAAAAGAAGAAAAAAAAACGATAGGATTTCGCGTTCAACACCAAGGCCAGCGCCAGTCTAGGTGTAATCCCCGATAATTCGTTTATATGCCGAGAGTGTTGCTGGCTTTGGGGGCAATGGGGGCCAGGGGAAATTAACCTCCACGGAGGTCATTCGTACAGACGCTTCTGAGCGGGTAGCACTACTGAAGTGCACTTACAGTATATGGCCTGCTCTCAGCTGGCTGGAAATGTGGGATTGTTAAAAAGAAGGGCCATATTTATGTTCATGGCCAGTATAATGAAACACCTCTGAGAATGGTTACTAGGCTAGTAGTACTGAGGTAAACCTATGCATATGGAAGGCTCTCAGTTGGAAAGGTTGTTTGTTTGTTTGTTTGTTTGTTTGTTTGTTTGTTTGTTTGTTTGTTTGGAAAGGTAGGATATAAAAAAAGGCAAAGCACCTCTAAGCCAGCCTTTGGAGAAGTATAGAAGTAGCTCTATTACTGACTGGGTTAGAATCAGGCAAGATTCTGGATACTCTCCACGTATTCAAAAACGTACATTTGCCCCAGGCACGGTTCTGGATACGTGAGGACTGGCCAGAACAGTTACCTGGCTGGTAGAACTGAAGAAAAACCACATCTATGCTTATGCTTGCCGGTAAGAAAAACAAAATCCTAAGCAGACCTGTGGAGAATGGTAACTAGGCTAGACTGGGGCGGTAAAAACACCCCTAAGCAAGCCCGTGGAGCATGGATACCAGGCTAGACTGGGGCTGGTAAAAACACCTCTAAGCAGTCCTATGGAGACTGGTTACTAGGCTAGACTGGGGCTGGTAAAACACCCCTAAGCCGGCCTGTGGAGACTGTTTACCAGGTTAGACTGGGGCTGGTAAAACACCCTTAAGCAGACCTGTGGAAAATGGTTACTAGGCTAGACGGGGGCTGGTAAAACAGCCCAAAGCTGGTTTATGGAGAATGGCTACCAGGCTAGTAGAAGTGAAGTGTACTTACTGTATATGACTGGCTCTCAGAAGCGCGTGTTTAGGACTGCCCTGCCGCAGCAGGTAACTCTTGATGTACCTGCCCAGCTGAGGACTCAGCGATCTCTTCAGGTCTCCGTGTTTGGCTGCAAAATGTGGGCAAAACAAACAACATATACATGAATATGGAAGCCAGATTGGAGTATTTCATGAATAAAGAAAAACAAATTCCCAACATCCCAACCCTTAACAACAACATCATGAATAAACATATTTTAAGGGCTCAAACAAGCAAAAAAATATATTTGAAACGAACCAGAGATTTCGAAACCCCAACCCTCAACCGTTCTGTCTTGGTCCATTTGGCAGAATGTCAACATGGAATAATACTTATTATTATGTTGTAGTTATTACGTTAATGATGTCTGTCATGACATTAATCAAACCTAAGATGGGGTGATCATGCATATTAAAGTTTCTACTCAAAAACGGTCCAATTAAGTTGCACTATTAGGAATTTGAATTCAGACATGTCACAAAAGAACTTTTATATAGTCCATACCAGCACGAAGTAAACATTTACTAGTAAAGAGAACTCAGTACAAAAACAAAACGTTAGAATAATGGTGTGTTGAGGTATATACTGGTTAACTAGACAGTGCATTAAAATAAGTTAGGGAAAGAGAGGTGAAGTGTTATAGGGAGAAGTGGCAAAATAAGTCTCAAACTCAGTCTCTATAGTACTTTGTATCTGAAAAAAAAAATACCTAGAACTTAGAAGTGGTCATTTGGCTTTGCATTCAGCAACACTGTTAAGAAATAATACAGTTTGCATGCTGGAAGAAAATTGGGGAGGGGGAAGGGGGGCTTTAAGAAGCATATATACCAACCGCGTCTTATACTGGATGACCGACTGCTGTCGTCTAGTGGGACATGTGAGATGAGAGGTGAGTAAGGTGAGACAGGACAGGATGACGTCATGATGACGACACAAGTCAAGATGGCGGAATGGGTTATGTTGGTTAGTAGTAGATATGCTGTTAGCAGATAGATAGCCTCTATACCAAACCGTACTTTAGCTGTGGAGTTTCTTTCGTTCTTTGTACGAAAGAGACTCGCCAGCTAAGATAGATTTGGTAACCAGGCTAGTTAGCAGATGAATGGAAGAATATTAATACGTCACACACGCACGTCATGCATTAGATGAAAATTAAATGATGCGTTAGCAGTCTGCAAGTATACTATAGCCCAATCATATTTCAATTATTAAAAGTAACGGACGCATTTTACGCGACTGTCTCTCAAGTGAGCATTAGAAAATCAACACACGTCTGTGAATATTATCTCTTATTCCCGTTCGTGCAAAGATAATTAATTTGGCCTCAAATGTATGCACCAGCGCGGTGAACTCAGGCAAACTGCCGCGAAATTGCGTCCTCGCGATAGGCTTTCCCCATAGGAAACGAATACGAATCGCGCGGAAAATTTAGACATGTTTTCGGCGTAAATGCATCTACCGTGCTGTGCGGTATGAGGCCATAAAAGCGATATGAAAATCTATGACCTTCGAAAACGCCAGACCCTTACTGTCGATATATACAGCGATGGCGGCTGATAGAATAAGACATGCTTTTATGGTCACACCTTGGGAATATAACCTTCAAGTCAGGCCACGAGTTAGACGTTAATATTTATCGTTTGACGAGGAGACCAAAGCGCGATCGTTCAATCATGTAGAGACAGAAATGGCGCCGGGGGGAGGGGGCGGTTTGTAGAAGTGATTGTGTCATCCATTGCGCTCAGTCTCTTGGCGTTTTGCTGGGAAATGTCATCTGCACTCAGGATAATCTGGCTTTTCTGGATATCCTTGTGGGGCGAGTAGATACATCTTTGCAGAGTTTAGATCAAATATCAGCAACATTTTTGAAATGAGGGTTTTGTGAAATGGAATTGTCTCAACATTTGACTGCATGCATCCGTAACACTAATAATACATAGACTTTTAGTACTTAATGTTATATAGAATGTAGCGTTTCAATGCTCTATACTCCATGTTTTAAATCCTCCAGACCACATATAGATAGCAACAATATAATAATAAAAATCCTGCAGCTTGGATAGCAACAAAACACGTAAAGTTTATCGTTTGGAAAGACTTAAAAATTTTGTAAGAGTTTATGGCAAATGCACGTACCTCCCATCGGTGTTTCCACGGAAAACGCAATCCGAAACTGAAACACGGGAGAATTTGACACCGAGTGAGGTAACGCTCGATCATGGTACAATTAGGTGATTCAGAATGGCCGGGAAAGGAGAATAACTGTTCGTAATAATTACTCATCGTGACTCATGGTTGACGGCTGACGCTTGTGTAGTGTGCGCGCGAAATTCATTTGTATTCCGCGGGTAACGTACTGCGTTTTGGTCGTAAAGTCGTTACTCGCTCATTACTGCCAAGGATACTGCATATTGGGTTCCGTTACTTTCTGTGGTACGGCCTCCAAACGGAGGAAATGACTTGTGGAGGACCTTGTACTTCTAATTAAGAACCAGGAACCTCCAATTCGTTCAGAACGGTTCTGTCAATACGGCATTGAACGATTTTATGACAGAAGTGTTGTTGGAAATTGGACGATATTGCTGTACCGTTACTTTAGAGGTCCGTCTCACAAAAAGAGGGAAATTGCTTGTGCACGACTTAGCAGTTCTATTATTGAAGTTTTAATTGAGGGCGAAGAAATGAAGAATGTTGTGTCAATATAGCCTCGATACAGTATTGAATGATTTTATAACAGAAGTGTCGCTGAATATTGGACGACATTTCGGTACCGTTACTCTATTACTAAATTATAGGTCCGTACCTCAAAAGAGGGAAATTGCTTGTGCACGAGTTGGCACTTCTATTACTGAAGTTTTAATTAAAGAGCGAAGAAGTGAGGAACTTTCTGTCGATAGACTACAACGATACAGTGCTGAATGATTTTATGACGCCATTTAAAATTGGACGACATCGCGCGTATCATTTATTCATGGGCACGTGTCCCTGTCGCCTGTCCACACAACGCCATTGTTACGGCTGAATGTGTCGACAGAGACTTTCATACATAACACTGTGGATTATTTCCTAGCCCGGTGCAGGCTTAGCGGGGTTTTTGTGTGCCTGTTGAGGCGAGTTACGGCGAAATTTCTCGACTGAATGCACTGAATAAGAAAAGGGCGGGAAAGCCACGGGGAGCGCCAGGTGCTTGTGCGCCCCTTTTCAGACGATAAGTTGACCGGGCCGTACCATTAGTAGGGGGTGGTCAGGAGAGGGCAGGTGGTTTGTTTACGCTCATTCTTATGGACAAAATCGTAATGGCAACAACAAACGTTTTCATCTTTTCTCGTGTTTCATACATCAGAAAAAAATTTTCCTTTTCATTATGTTTCAATGAATCAGCCAGAAAATTAAATGGCCTGAATGTGGGGCAAGGGAATCTGTCAATGTGGTCATACATAGGAATTAAAACCATTGATATGTTAATGATCCACACTTAATCCAAATAACCCCACGTGCCTGGACTTAAATCCTATTGTGCCATCTGCGGCCCCAATTTCAGATTTTTCTTTCAGAGAAAAAAATAAATATAAATCCCGACCAGCGATAGCGAAAACCTTCGCATCCGGGTCGGGTGCTTGTTGTCATCCTACTTCAGACATGGCGATCGCCTGGGTCGATAATAATCAGTGATTGAACCGGCGCGATTGTCAATAGAGAATGGGGAACCCTTTGTATACAAACACAGACGAACGGCCAGACAGTCATAAACCTACACTTCAAACCACGATCGCGAAAGATCTTACCCTATTTTAAGCCCTCCTTTACAGCCCCGTTTTCTGACAAGCATCCGCGTCTACCTTTGCCATCCATTACTACATGTACACGCACAGCATGAGACTTGAGCGCAGCAAAACAAACCGCCAGATATTAAAAACCAAACACAACTCACCGTCACTCTGCGATGTCTTATCCGCAGTGCTTCGGAACGATCCTGTCGCCTTACGTCCCAGCTTCTGTCGTGCCGCCACCAGTTTTCTGCGAGCCGTGGACATCTCGTACGACCCGGTAGACGACCGCCTGGGAATGCTAGTACGTTTACTGGGAGGCGCTACTCCACCGCTGTTGCAAGATTCCGTGTCAGAGTCTTTATCTTTGCTCAGCATATCCTCCGAGCCTCTGCGGCTAAGCGGATTTTGAGGGAAGGCTTTGAGGAAGCCTGAGTGAGTGAGTTGAGCTAAGGTGACCCCGTCTGGGCCGGGTACGGCGATAAACCTCTCCCTACCGTGGTGCCCGCGACAGGGGAGGCTTCCCGTGCTGACGCCCGCTACCACGGGCTCGTTCGCTGATAAACTCGAGTCATCGGAGCATAGCGACTCCGCCGAGTTGGCGCGAGAGCCGTCCGATATTTCGGGTTCGCTGTAGTAGAATATCGACCTGCCCACCTTGGCCATGACGGGGCCGCTTTCCATCGTAGCCTCGCGGAAGAACCTTCGGTGGGATGCGTCGCCTCCTCCCGTAAGCAGCGCGGAGAGGCTCCCTGGTTCAGTAACGGGGCTGCATCTCTGGTAAACTACCGGCGGCACGATATGCAGAGTTATTCCCTTTGTGTGCCAGCCCTTCTTCTCCCTCATGTATTTTCAGCACATAATAGCCAGGCCGTCAGTCACCCTGGGCGTGCAGCTTGCCTCTGTGTTGTGTCGTGTCCCTGAATGGTTCATTCCCCGGCTCCAGGCCGCCCAATCGTCTGCAAAAGATTATGATGATAATTAGCCGAATCGTCCGCCGCCAGACTAGCTAACCCACGTCACGTGTTAGCCTAATGTACACACAACACACACATACAAGTACCGTAAATATACACACCACAACTGTCTTTTCACCAAGAAAAGTTTTACCCAAGTTTTGTGGAGTATATTTTGACAGAACGCAAAATATGGCAAAAAGTGGTCTGTCAGATCGTTAGGGAGATAGATGTGGGGTTCGGGTCACTCGCTTCGCAGGAAATGACCAAAATAAATACGGCGTATTTACCTACACCGGGTGGGCAGGTTAGGATTTCCGACCCAGGCACGTCTGGGGCCCGACAATTGTAACAGATCCGAACCGCCGCTCTCACAGCCTGGTTTAACATCTGGCATTTCACCCACGATTTAGTTTAGCTTCGGCCGCCGAAAAAATATCATTCCTGGCCGCGGTTCAAGTCTCTTACCCAACCCGAGAGAGTTACCATGGAAGGTACGGAGGAGATTTAAGATGTCAAAAGGACACGGTATTTACAGTAACAGGGGTCTCAGACATTCCCTATGGAAGAGCCAGCGACCCTAAACGACTTAAGGATGCTCATGAACTGTTCTTAAGTGCTTATCTAGAGAAGAAGGTACTGACGTAAGAACGCTGACCGGCGTCTAGGAAGACAAAATGGATGACGAAGTAAAACTGACAACAATTCCAAAGTCAATTTTAAACGTACCTATTCAGGGAATTCAATGGCTGTATTGATTTACTAAAAGCCTTTGAGGTGCATGTAGCTGGTACAATGTAAGTTTGGCCCTGGAGACTGGCGATTGGCAAGTAGGTATAGAAAAAGAATTCAGAACAAAAGGCAAGAGAAGGTTATGCAAGGACACACTGTTTATATATCGATTTTACCTTAACTATAATGATTTAAAATTGCCTTGCTTGTCTTTTTATCGGTAGACATAATTTAAACATACTCAGAATACGGGTGTGCGTGCCAAAACGATCACATGATGATAAGGAACACAAAGACAATATTAGAAAGCGTTGGCCGGCGTAATAAAACATTCGAGTTATTTTTATCGACAGGGATTAATCATTAAAGAATGAAGGTTGCTCCAGGCCTTGGTATTGTGGGTATAGCGTGATAGATGAATACAGAACGTCAGACAATTAAACTACATGCTTTAGTTCATATAGTGATCTCACGAATATGTGCATACATATAGTATGTATATTGTATGTAGTTAGAATGCGTGTTTTTGATAGTACAAATTCTAGGTCGGCTTGTGTTAGGAAAAGTGAATCATACCATACGTTTATCTACACGTGTATACGTTTCGCTTGTTACGCTTACTAGTAAGTAGTAATGAGATATAACAAAAGCCATAGCTCTGATATTATATTATAATGATTGATAATACAACAATAACAACTAAGGAACAATAATGTATTGAATGCCCAATTCCCACCCCAATCCAAATGTTAAGTCTAGCTATTCAAGGACATTATAATGCCTATTGTATCACAAAGGAACACTATTTCAGGTAAGTTCCTAACGAAATAGAAGAGCCAAGTAGTTGACTTTGTTGTCAAAACATTTCAAGCTGCTTATACAACCAATAGAACTCTAGAACCTGATGATAGAAGACTAGAATAAACAAACCCTCGACGGAATATCAGAATCAACATTGAAACGAGAACATTGTTTACAAAATGATGTCATTATTTGCAAAAGGCTTCTGGTTCGTAACGAGAGCGGTAAATAAATGTAATTTATTTACCATGTCGGAAGAACTACACTCAAACATGGTGTAATATGGTAAATTACTCGTTGAAGTTGAAGTACATATTGGGCATTCACGCAATGATTGAATAATTGTTCTGATGGAAATATAATGAGCAGCCGAATTATTCAATGCACAGTGCGTGTATAAGCTTGGGAATTGGCTAGACCATGGCTTAGCTTTGGGACAGTCACTAATTTCTTTCCGTCTATGAACAAATATAATAAACGACCAGTGAACGTGCATATTCCAAATGCTAGCTGGGCACAAATATTCAAAATCTACTCTTGTATCTATTTACATAGGTAAACGATAAAAATACGGCCATTTACATGGAACAAAAAAGTCCACAATGCATTTATGTTTGTGCACATATCTTACACATACATGTATGCAATGTGCTAAAGTAAATGGACAAAATGTACTGTTTGCTTTAACTATTTGATCTACAACGTAGCTGAAATTCTGTTAGGCGCTTTATCTCTGTAAAGAGGGACACAGTGCCTAATTAAACTAATGTATTATGCATTCCATAATGTAGTTATAAATCATAATCAGCGGGAAATTGACGCAAATTGCAGCTGCACCCATTTTCAGACGATCGCTCACGGCCTAAATTACTCGAAATTTACCACTGGGTTATGGCAGCTTTGCTGGGTCGTCTGTCAAATTAGCCTGTTTTGCAGAGTAAGGCATGGGAAAGATTACTTTGATGCATACACGTTGACTTTAGCAAAGTACAGTATTCGTAAGCTAAGTTCTATCAGCATCACCGTAGTGACAGTGAAACAGTGCCCCCAGCGATCCTTACGGTACTGCAGTGAGTAGCAGTCCGTTATATTCAACATCCCAATTCTCCAAGCAGAAGTTAATCATTGGGCTTACTTTTGACTGGCTATCTATTTTTTTTTACGCTAGTCAAGGTGGAAAATGGTAACTGTCAGGCAAATGGATACTGCCTGGCCAATGTATGTGATACTGTCTTTGCAGGCACCAAAATAACCTATCTGCTTTGGTATTATAACATTCCTAGACCTGAACGAACCTCGAAGCATTTGTTTAGACGTAAAAGGAAAGCTATCATTTATTTCTACAGCATATTTTTCTCTCTCAATTGTATGCGCTTAATTGGTAAGGATCCAGTTTTTCTCAACATATAATCCATTGTTGGTTAAACCAAGTGGGTCCGCCTAGCTGAAAATATGAACATCTATTCGTGATTTAGATTCGAGAGAATCCGATTAATATTATTTGCTTATGATGTAGTGAATGGAAATATCATATTTGCAAGAAGAAAAGCCCACATGCACACTACAAGCCCTAAAACACTTAAAATTCTTGTCAGACCAATGTCAGACATGTAATTTATTTGTGTGCCCCCGTCCAAAGTCATATCAGACATTTCAGCAAATGTCAGAACCATTAGGAAAAATCACAAAGCGTACATATTGTACGCGTGATTGCCTAAGTACACACAGTAAAGCGCGTAGACATATAGACATAATGACTTCAGCAGAAAGGCAGACATATGAGCCGATTTTGTATTCATGGCACCAGACACGCCACGCTTCACAGTCGTTACTCATTTTACGAGCTTTTTGACCCCGTCCCCATATATGTATACCCTTTTGACGCTGTCATATCATAGCATGAGTCAACGTCCTCTGCACAATCTTCGTCTGTTATCCCCGTACATAGACACATATCATTAGTACACGATTGTTCGCGCTTAATTGAATGTACGGTGAGGTCATTTCTACCTGGTTGCTATTGGATACAATTGTCGGGATGCACCTAGGGGAAAATTGCGGGCCCCGCCCCTTGATTCAGACATGACGTCACCTCAGACGATGATTGACAGCTAGTGAAAACGATGGTTGTTCCATGAGGGGGATGGAACAGTAATAGGGGTTGTTCAGTAATTCTCCTGGGGGCTTCAATCATACAGTAATCAGGATGAGCTAATGGCAAGGTTATTAGGGATATACCATTATCATAAGGTCAAGGGGAGAGGGTAAGATCTCGTAAATTGTTTATATTTTTCTGGGTTTTTTTTTGCCAGTATTGTAACAGCTCCCGACGTGAATATTGTACAAATAGTATTACCCCCCCCACACACACACACATACACAATGGTTTTGGTTCGAAAGAAACACCTATACATATTCTTAGAAACAATATAATGCTGGAAAATGACCAAATCCTCCATAAAATGTTTCTCTAGAAAATGAAAACTATCGAGAATTAAGACGTTTACAAAGGCCACTCTGTGATCGCAAAGACCTTGCCTTGGCTGAAGTAGGTCACCGTTGGTCGTTAAAATCAGCGAAACGTCCAGTAGCTATAGTGTCGGCTATAACGTTTTACTGGACACAGGTACCTTAGCGACAATCTGTTCTATTCGTCATAGAGGCTGATCCTATAACTATAAACGCAAAGACTCTTTGAAGTAAAGGAGCAAAGAACGGGGTTTTATAGTTGCAAGACGTTATGGAAGTGCAAGATAGCTGCACGCTTTATGTGTGCCATGGTTTTACTTTTTTGTACATGACTCGTAAAAGGCTTTTGACACTATCAACTCCTGTTAACAACAGTAACCGGTTTTCCCAAGGTTACAAACCAGTTAGTCAAGAAACATTCAGAAGGTTTGTACTAAAGATAGGAAACAACACAAAACGCCATGGATTTCTGTAAACCCTCGGAATGCAATGATTCGGGACTAGAACCCGCGACCTCTGGTGATTGTTGGACGTCTTTTGTGTATCCCCGTTCTCTCCAGCTATGTACTCGTTATGTGCTCGTAAAGAAATGGTTTTAGATTAAAAGACGGCAGACCTGGAATCTGAAATCCCTACCTCCAACAGCGCAGCGCCTTTCTGATTAGATTTTCACTTTCACAGTCCTGATCTTTAAAGATCCCTTAGCTAGTGAATGATGACCAATGAATGGAAGAACGACTGGGATCCGAACCCGTGACCCCTGGCATTCAGCCCCACCGTCTGCCACTTTCAAACATCGCTCAAGAAGCTCTTACCCGGAACAAAGTCGGGCTTTAGACGGACAAACCGGGATTTGAACCCGTGACCCCCGCGTCGTTAATTCATCCACAACTCAAAGCCTCTGTTGGAGGCTTGGGGCGCTTTCCCGCCAAATGATTTGGATTGAAAAACGGAAATCGAACCCACCATCTTCTTTCAATAGAACATAATGGAGGCCTCCT